GAAGCTCTTGTTTAATACTTGAAACCAGAAAGAGGACTGTCACCGAGCTAGTATTGCAACGCGAATTAAAGTTCAATGAACGGTGATGTAAAATCGTTTCAATTATATCGTGGGAGAATATACAAAATCGAGATAATGAAATTTCTGAAGAGATGAACGAGAGAAAATTAGTCGATGTTACTTGCTTAATTTAGCTAGGTTTAAACGTAGTAAATCAAACTCTAATTATTTTGGGACCGCACTGAACCAATCTTGTACCACTGTTCATACACTTATTGTACATATGTATATACACGTGTACATATGTATGCAGTGTTGCCGCGAATCATTTTTAGCGGTAGCAAAATTCCGTTAAAAAAAGGGCTAAAAAAGAGCTAAGAAAGTCGTTGTGGCTAAAAATGGTACATATACATATATAAGTATACACGCAAACATTTTCAACAAGTAATGGTACAGAAAAACAATGAAGTCTGGAAAAAAGCTAAGATTTTATCCAACCAAAAACCTTTTTGTATAAAAGGGGAAATATACGACACCAGCTTGCTGGCAACATCAAGTGATTGTACCATCAGACTCGAAGCATATAACTTACCAGCATGCTGGTACAATAATTATTTCTTTACAAATGAGGTCGAGAAAAGATCGAAATGATTAGATCCAAAATTCAATAATTTTTCTACCATTTTGTTAAACATTGTTTTTTTCACAACTGCAATATCGTGAACTTAATCTTTCACAAACAGATATGGGTCAATCTTGTTTTTTCGAATACCAACACAACTTAATTCAACTTTGAATGAAGTTCTTTCATCCTACCTTTCTCTTCCATCCTTTGAATGAGTTTATCAGCAAACAAATAAAAGGGAAAACACCTTTCCATTGACACCTCTTAAGTCTAAATCGGAAGAGTTTAGGTTCAGTTATTCAAGTTTTTCCTATACCAATCTTTGAAAAAAGTTAAAAAACAGCATCAAAAATCTCATCATTACGATTCCGTTCCAATTTTTTTTTCTTTTTTTTTTAAATATTCTTATGCAAATATTTTCAGCTTAAACCGTTTCGTGATTTGGGGGGATTTTTTAAAAAAATCTTTAAGAAACTATTTTTATTCATAAAAAACTCCATTTTTGGAGGTATTTTCAAATCGGTCCAGCTCACTTAAATCTTAATATTTTTCCGAAATATTTTGGTGGACGTCTTAAAATATAATAAATTTTATAATTCCAATGGAAAAATAGTACCGATTTTGTTTTGTATGGGGAGTGATGCAGTCTAATGTATATATATCAGTCATTCTTAGTTTAAAAATTCATCTCTTACATAGATGAACAAAAAATTTTAGATCAAATTAAGCATATACAAGTTTTTCATGCCAAGTATGAATAAATTCTAAAAAGGGCTAAAAAAAAGGGCTAGGGGCAATTTTAAATTTAGGTGGCCAAAAAAAATATGTGGTAGCTAAATCTAGCCACCAAAGGGCTATAACGGCAACACTGTATGTATGTATGTTTGCTGTACCGCTTTCACCGCCTTTATTGTCATATATATTTTTGTATATGTGTGTATATAATGTTATCTACGTTTGTATATAATTTGGGGTTAGTTAAAGTTAATGCAATTTTAAATAGAGTTTATTTCGAGAAATTGAAATTTATTATTTTAAACCCGTAAATATTACTTATGTATTTATGTTTTGAGATTTAATTTCGCAAGATGGCGCACTGTATCTAAGAGGATTTTACCGTGTGTATGTTATATTATGTATGTTACGGTTTATAGATTTTATTGTACTTATTCCTAGTTGCGATGATCCGCCTGGGGTGTATCGGGCTGGTTTCGAATGGAGGCGACG